CGCGGACGGAAGAGCGGCCCAATCAGGCCTGCGGGAATTGGGGGCCGCCGGGAGCGCGGCTTCAGTCTTCTGGACTCCACGTCGGGCAGAGACGCCGGCCGCCACGCCAGGCCCTGCCTGGGGAGCAGTGAGTGAACGGTTGGGGATGGAGGACGAGGTCGGCGTGTGGGGCCCGGGCGGGGACGTGCGGAGCTGCTTTGTGAGGGCGCCTGGAAGCCTTGACCCTTCCTTTGGGAGTCTTTAATTTAAACGTTAACTCCACAAAACCTTGTGGAGGGTCCCTGTTTGCTGTCCTCTGCGCTAGGCCTGAGAGTCCGGCCTAGCGTGGACGGAGCACGGTGACTGAACTGTGAACGGAGGGTGCGGGAGGGTTAAGGTCGATGGTGAGAGATACAGAGTAGGCTTTTTCTGCCTTTTTTATTTCACATGCACCGTGTCTGAAATGTACTCGTACTTGGGGAGGGTACTTAAGGTTTGTACAGAAACGCCATCTGCTCAAGAGTTAACTAATTGTTCTCTCCTTTCTCTGGCTGTTGGACGCGCACCTTTCCGGAGGATGGGGGAGGTAACCAAGGTCCTGAGATGTTACCTGAACTTGTATGAACAGAGAATTTCAACCTTTACTGTCTAGCATTCGACCATACCAGCAAAGCGTTCCCTTACTTTGTGGACCTTAATTATAAAAGAGCTTAAAAATTTCACAAAGTACATTCTGGCAGATGTTGGGAGGGGGCTGGAATCTAAGAATGTAATCTTCACGCTGGATCTGTGCTGTCCAGTGTAGAGTGCAGACCACTTGTGGCTATGAAGCGTTTGTTTTTTGGTTTTCTTGAGACAGGGTCTCATTATGTAGTTAAGACTAACCTGGAACTTACTGTGTAGCCCAGGCTGGACTCAAAGTCACAGCAATCCTCCTGCCTCAGCTTCCCGAGTGCTGGGATTACAGGGGCCCAGCAGCATGCTGTTGTTTTAAAGGAAAATGGTTTGTAAAGAATTTGCAGTTCTGTCCCAGCAAGATGGCACAAGACAGTAATTGCAGCACTCTAGGAGTCTGAGGCTGGAGGAGATTGCTGGGGATGTAGCTAGGCCTTGGGTTTGAACCCTAACACCTGGGGTAAAAAGAATATACAGTTCTGGAAAGGAGCAGCAGAAGTGCTGCTGTGTAATCCCAGCACTGGGGAGGCTGAGGCAAGAGCATCACTGTGAGTTTGAGTCCAGCCTGGGCTATATAGTGAGTTCCAGGTCAGTCTCAACTACGTAGTGAGACCCTCTCTCAAAAAAAAAAGAAGAAAAAAAAGAATTGACCTTTTAAGCCAGGAATGATATCACATGCCTGTAATCCCGGCACTCTAGGAGGCTGAAGGCAATGGCAAGTTCACTCTTGCCTCTGTAACTTAGTGAGATATCCTGTCTTGAAATAAAATAGGTCTAGGCATATAGCTCAGTGGTAATGTCCTGAGTTCAATCCCCAATACTGCCAAAAAAGAAAAGTTACTTAGAAATTTGAAAGAATTGTACTGTTGTGACCATGTGACCATTGCCTAGATTCTGTAAGTCACATTTCTGCCACATTTGCTGAATTATCTAACCACTCATCATTTACTTTTTTTTTGCATTTTCAAGGTAAATTGCACACTTGCCTCTACCTCCCCTAACCAGATATGTAAATCATTAAGGAAAGTTTGATGTTTGCAGTGATGACTTTTTGAGTCTTTTTTTTCCTCTTTTTAATACTCCTATGGGACATTTTGTTATTTAGTTTGGGTGTTAAATGTTTTGATGTCACTGGTCACTTTCAAAGTGGTTTTTGTTTCCAGTCCTGTTATGATCCACTTATTACAAAAGGAAATTACAGTCATGAGATCTGATATTTTTAGAAGAATCACATTTGGGTTAGATGCTGCTCTGCTCTGCCTGTAAGTGTGCTGCTGTAGTATTTTTTAAAGGACTGTAGAGGGCTTATCTTGAACCTAGAAATAAAATCTGGTGTTGTGCAACTTGTAAAATAACAGTAGTGAATGGAGCCACCACTCCTTCTTAAGAAAAAGATAAGCAGGACCAGGGATTTAGCTCAGTGGCACTGTACCTGCCTCGAAAGCACAAGGTCCTGAGTTCAATCCCTGGTACCAAAAAAAAGAAGAACATGAAAGAAAAGGAAAAGCAGAGGAATCATAATATACTTCCCCCCACATTGAACTCAGGACTTTGCACTTTCAAGGCAGGCCATGCCACTGAGCTAAATCCCAGCCCTACTCTTCTTGATTTGGGTGGGTATTCAATATTGTTTTGTTTTCTGTTTTTTTGTTTGTTTGTTTGTTTGTTTTTTAAGCTGGGGATGTAGCTCAGTGGCACCACACCTGCCTGGCAAGCACAAGGCCCTGAGTTCAATTCCTGGTACGAAAAAGTATGAATCAACTAGTTTGTATTTTTTAAAAAAGACAAGCTGACGTGACCATCTATCTGTTGTTCCTGTGGGGCCGTGGGTAGCGATCTCAAGGATGGTGCTGTGCTCCCTGCAGTCCCCCCCCCACTCTCCAGACACTTCTTATTGTGCTCCCTTGCTCCCTTCTTGTGTGTTCAGCTTTTTATTGCAAAATAGTTTGTTGCCTTGCCAACTCGTTCACTTTTAAATCCTTTTATCTTGTTACTAGGCTGCTCTTTGGCGTAAATTGCAATCGATTAGGGATCGGTTCTCAGACTCAAATTAGAAGTGAGATTTCAGATAAGTGAGGCCGCCATTGCTGCTTTGAACACCTCAGAATGGATTTATCAGGAGTGAAAAAGAAGAGCTTGCTAGGAGTCAAAGAAAATAATAAAAAGTCCAGCACTAGGTAATCCCTCTGTAAAATTTTTCTAGTGCTATTTTGGGGGTGCTCGCTGCTAGGGGCCCTCAGAAAGGGGAGATTGGAAATGTTTTGCATTCTACAATGAGTGTCCTAAGTTACAGCTCATTTTATTCTGTATCACCTGGGATCTTTAGCCATTTTGGACCCCTTTTTGGGTTGTTGTGTTATTTTGGGGTTTGGTTAGAGGAACATGCAATCTCATACTGTTCCCCACCACCTAGGGCTCCTTCTCCTACCAAACGCAAGGACCGATCTGATGAGAAGTCCAAGGATCGCTCTAAAGACAAGGGGGCTAACAAGGAATCTAATGAGAAGGACCGTGGCAGGGATAAGACCCGGAAGAGGCGCAGTGCTTCCAGTGGAAGCAGCAGCACCAGGTAGGGCAGAGAAGCCACTGAGGAACCATATTCCTCCATAGAAGGTTACCTTGCCTTACCTAGTTACAAAACAACCACACTCTCGACTTAATAGAGACCCTATGATGTTATAGAGTACTAGTTAGGGCCTTTTATAGATAGAAGATAATTTGGGTATTTTTTTTCCTATGGAGTATTCAGAATTGCACTTGTGTTGCCCTAGTCTTGAGCTTATTTTTCAGTAGTTGAAATCCAGCCTTCACAAGGCATGGTCACACATACCTGAGGCAAGAAGATTGGACGTTAAGACCAGCCTTAAGTGTATAGCACAACCTTGAGTCTCAAAACAACAAAAAAGGGAAGAAAGAATACCATCCTGAGTTCATCTGTAACATGCCTTCCAAGCTAGTGGCTCTAAGCTAGACTTTTTTGTCTCCCAGTGGAAAAGGTTACTATGTGGATAACCTTAGCCTGTCCCTATCCCCCTTTTCTGTACATTGTCTGTACGATGCTGTGGCTTGGGGATAGAAGGGGAGTATTTTCCTCACTAGGGAAAGCATTAAGGCATGAAGATAACCTGCACAGCAATCCTCTTTTGGGGTGTCTGCTGTGGACTAACACAGCTCCTGCCCATTGCTGCCTTTTCCCACTCCACCTTTCCCTCAGATCTCGGTCCAGCTCAACTTCAAGTTCAGGCTCTAGTACCAGCACAGGCTCAAGCAGTGGCTCCAGTTCCTCTTCAGCATCCAGCCGTTCTGGAAGCTCCAGTACATCCCGCAGCTCTAGTTCCAGCAGCTCTTCTGGCTCCCCAAGCCCTTCACGGCGTAGACACGACAACAGACGGCGCTCTCGCTCCAAGTAAGTGCCATATGAACAAATGGGGCTGTGTATGAACTATGGCTAATAATTCAAAAGAAGTGAAGTCTTTCTAGTGTAATTGGATTTCTAGGGCAGGGATAATGTATGTGAACTAGGGCAGAGTTCCTTGTAGAAGCTATTACACAAGAAAATGATATCCCCATAACATGAATCCAGTGATTTTGTGTGTGCGTCTTTGCCCAGCCTCACAGTAACCACACACATGCCTGGTGTTAGGGATCAAACACAGCACTTTATATATGCTAATCCAGAGCCAAATCCTGTATACTTAGACTTGACATATGTTGAGTGTTTCTGGTGTTTTGTTTCCTGTCAGATCTAAACCACCTAAAAGAGATGAAAAGGAGAGAAAAAGGCGAAGCCCTTCCCCTAAACCCACTAAAGTGCACATCGGGAGGCTTACCAGGAATGTGACTAAGGTGAGGATCACAAATCCATTCTGGCGACAGTGCCGTGTATCAGCCAGACCTCTGGTGGCAGGTGCACCTAGAATGTAGCCTACCTAATTCAGGTAGTTCAGTTCCTTTTAGTGGACTGTTAGATACTAACTGTATAGGTGACCTGGCCCATTGTGGCAGTGGGCTTCTCGTCAGATGGCATGTTTCTGCATTGCCGAGGCCTAACCATTGTGTGGTGAGTGAACATTAGTATGACCTTTCTTTCCCTGTAGGATCACATCATGGAGATATTTTCCACCTATGGGAAGATTAAAATGATTGACATGCCTGTAGAAAGGATGCATCCTCACCTATCCAAAGGCTATGCATATGTGGAGTTTGAGAATCCAGATGAAGCTGAGAAAGCACTGAAGCACATGGATGGAGGTAGGTCACTCTTTGAGTACCCTTTGGCCTCCCACCTTTGTCCTCATGGAGACCCATTGCCTGGAGGGTTCTTTCAAGATTATTTCAATTCCAGCTGCACTTGAGTTTTACTGGAGCTCTTTTGGAATTGCAGTTCTTACTCAGTGTGGGTGTGTTTATCAAAAACATGTTTTATGGAACACTTCTTGGAGGGAAAATACCAAATATGAATATATCAGCACTTTAAGAAATCTTCAGTCTGTTAAGCCTAGAGATCAAATGAAGCTTTTCTTATAAAGAATATATTAGGCTTTTTGTGAGAATATTTTCTTCAGTCATTTGAGTCATTTTGCCAACATTTCACCATTTTTTGGATTATTTTGTTAGGTGATAGGTTTACTAAATTTCATTGATGCATTTCTCAAACCTATTTAGCTTTTTATAATATTTATAATTGTTGGGTAGAGTGGTTTTTAAAGCATGTGCACACTTACAAATAGTTTTATTGTTGGTTGGTTGGTTGGTTGGTTGGTTGAGACTGTCCTGGAACTCAATATGTAGCCCAGGCTGGTCTCGAACTCACAGCAATCCTCCTGCCTCAGCCTTCGGAGTGCTAGGATTACAGGTGTGCACCACCACACCCGGTTTACAAATAGTTTTAAGTGACCAGTTTTTATTTGGTCTTGAAGTGAACATTTTAAGGAACAGAGTTTGTCTCTACTGATGTGATTGGGGCAGACTGGGCTGAGAATAGGCAGCCCATAGTACTGTGGGGGTAGCAAGGCCCAGGTGGGAAAGAGATGCTGAATGCCCCAGAGCTTCAAGAGTCCTCTGGGGACCTGTGGTAAGTTTCATAAATAGTTCATCTGGTGTTTTTTTGTAGTGTTTTGGGGGGCTGTGGGGGCAGTTGTTTTTGGTTGATTTGGTGTTTTTTTGTTATCAGGGATTGAACTTCAGACCTCATGCTTGTGAGGCAGGCAGCAGAGCCACTGAGCTAAATCCCTGGCCCTGTTTGGGGATTTTTTGTTTGTTTGTTTTGTTTTGTTTTGTTTTGTAATTTGAGTACTGGTAAAGCTTGGGTATTAGAAAATTTTCTTTCATTGATCCTTAGCCAACTTCTCTTTCACTTTATATATGTCCCTCTGAAATGTTTAAAGTGCTCAGCATAAAGTGCATGTCACTCATTTCCACTCTTGGCCCTGTGAATCATCTTGTATTTGACAGAGTCTGAGCACTTGCTAATCGGTTTAAGAACTTAGAAGATTGAGGGACACCCAGGGTGGACATGAATATAAAAATTGCTTGTGCCGGGCGTGGTGGCACACGCCTGTAATCCCAGCACTCGGGAGGCTGAGGCAGGAGGATTGCTGTGAGTTTGAGACCAGCCTGGGCTACATAGTGAGTTCCAGGTCAGTCTCAACTACATAGTGAGACCCTGTCTCAAAAAGCCAAAAAAAAAAAAAAAAGCCTGAAGATCTTGGTAGGATTTTATATGTGCCCCACATTGTGCTATGCATCACCAAATGGAGCAAGTCCACAGTTTCTCTCAGGAGAAACTAGAAGTTGGCTCTTACTGGGAGCTTACCAAAAGATGGATTTGTCTCCGTTATAACATATTCAGTGCTATGAAATCCTTAATTTGAAATGGTTTTGGCAATGAGCCAGAGGCCACCCTAAACTGACTTTCCTTAGGTTAAGTTTGGACGTGTTCTGAATGTAAGTCCACATGCCTGAGTTAGCCCTTTGTTCTTTGTCTTTACTGTGTTCTACAAGTTCCTAGAGTTTCTGTCCTACATGTAGTGTTTAATGCTGTTCGTGTGTAGTAGTCTCTCCCTGGGGCCTTTTTCACAATCCCCCCCACACACAGTTCTGCCTCATTTAATCCCCCACTGCTTCTACCAAACCTTTGTCACGCTCTGGCCAGTTTGCTTCCCAGTAATTCCCTGAATTCTTCCTTTGCCTTCCCCTTTGATATGGGTATCATTTCCGTTCAGTGCTACAGAAGCTTCCTCATAGGATTTTCTTCTCTTGGCCCAGTCCCAGCTTCCCACTTGTGCCTGAGAAGGAAGCTCAAATGCGCATGCCACCTTTATGGCCCCCCAGGAGTGCCCTCATCCTGTCCTCCAGCCTTATGTTCATCTGTCAGGCACTCCACTGCGGCCTTTTTTGTGGTTCTTTGAAGTTTGCTTTTCTAAGTAGCAAAGTCCAGCATGTTCTTCAGGTTTTACTTCAGTAACACTTGCTCTGGGAAGCTGCCCTAGCACATTGATTAGTGTCCACATTCAGGTCCCATGCTTCATTCAGTTTTTCCTGATGAAATTTCAATCCTTGTGTAGTTGTTTCTGGGATTATTTTATGCCTTTCATTGTTCCCTGGTTCTGTTTTGTTCACTGTGATGGGCCCACCCTCTGGCTTGATGCTTTGCCTAGGGTAGGTGCTTATTATATAGATATTTTATGAGTTGGTCCTTTTACTATAGGACAAATCGATGGTCAGGAGATCACTGCTACTGCTGTGCTGGCCCCCTGGCCTAGGCCACCACCCCGGCGATTCAGCCCTCCCAGGAGAATGCTCCCACCACCTCCCATGTGGCGTAGGTCACCTCCACGGATGAGAAGAAGGTATGTCGATTTGGAATATTCACTGGACTCATTGGGCCACTTCGTTTGATGTACAAACCTGGGTGATTGTGTTTACTTTGGGACCATTTATTCAGTGCAGGTTAATATGGTGACCCTGAGGAGCTTTTCAGGAAAAGGATGGCAGTCTTATGGGACAGTAATGGCAAAAGAGGGTCTAGGATTGTGTCAGGACCACCCTTGAGTAAACTGTACATTGAATCCTTTTCCACTGGCTAGAAAACAGGACAGGTAAGGAGGGAGGAATTCTGAGGTCAGAGGTGTAATAGGATAATTGCCCGGGCACGGGTCACAGTGTTGAAAATAAAAGTATAAAGGATTGTTCCAGGAAGAAGCCAGCTTGCCTCTGCCGCACTTCTTCCTGGGGTTTTTGATTCTGATGGTCTTACTTGGTCTGTTCTTTTCGCACAGGTCACGCTCCCCAAGACGCAGGTCCCCTGTACGCAGGCGGTCCCGTTCTCCTGGCCGCCGCCGCCATAGGAGCCGCTCTAGCTCCAATTCTTCCCGATAAGCAAGACTGCCGAAGCTCGCTCTTGTAACTTATGTCCCACTCACTCAGTTTTGTCACTTCTCTAGCATAATGAGGAGCAGTAGAAGAGGATCCTTGATCAGGCTGGCTTCAAAGGGACTTGTTCTTCAGGCAGGTTCTGGCTGCAGAAGTGCTCTTGGTCCAGGGCTGTGCCCATAAAGGCGCCCTGCACTTTTCAGTCTAGGAAGCTCACCATTCACATCTCATGAGTCTGTTCAGCGGCAGCGTCTGTAGGAATGAGCAAGCCTTCAAGTGGCGTGGCAGGATACACCAGCCCTTCCAGACGACTTGGGGACCATCTGGCGATCTGCTCATACCTTGGGGACCAACCCATCATTCCCATTAGGCCTGGCCCTTTGATCTCTGCCTGAGTCCTCTTCCAGCTTCTAGGATCAAACACCCTAGAAAGACTTCCCCCCGCCCTGTGTTAGTTGTCATGATGATTCTTTCTATGTTCTCACCTATACACCATCCCCATTTGTCTTCTTTACTCTCCAATGTTGGTGAGCAGTTTGAGAGCCAGCTTTGCAGGTTGTCGAGGAGCCCCCCATTTCATCTGCCATTCATGGTGGTCTTGCAGGTTACCTTGGCAACATGTACATTGCTTTTTTTGGCTTATTGTACAGTCAGTGCTATAAAATTTGAGTTTTGTAACTTTGTAGCATTTTAGATAAGGTTGTGTTTGTACTTTGTTGTGTAGAGTAAAGGAATTGTATTGAATAAACCTAGGATTAGAATGCAGACTGAATACTGGTTTCATTGCTCTTTACTTCCCAGAACTGCTTCACATAGTCATGATTGCTCATGCCAGAGGACCAACTAAGAACAAAATGTTTTATTTCCAAAGTGACACCTCCAAAACTTCTCAGTCAGAAAAACGTGCTGAAGAGTTTTAGGTTGCTCCTATATGTAAACAATAGGGGAAATGGATGTTTTTACTATCAACTTCCTAAAAGGTTCCCTTTTTTTTGGTACCCAGTAGGACCTTGCACTTTGAAGGCAAGTGCAGTGCTACCAAGCTCAATCCCTGGCCCATGGGTTTGCTTCTGTTTGAAATGTGCTACTTTATTAAATTGGTATGGAAAAATATTTTTCTACCTCAAAAATTAGTTTCAGGCCAGGCACAGTGAATCCTCAGCTGCAGGGCAGAGGCAAGAGGATCACAAGTTCCAGGCTGGCCTGGGCAGTTTATCAAGACTGCCTAAAAATAAGTGGGAATGTAGTGTAAGTGGTCGAGTAGTACTGCCTGGGTTTAGTCCCCTGTGCTGCCAAAATTGAAATGAGCCACAGGGAAAAATTGAAGGGTTAAGTTGATAACAAAAAGTTAAGGTTGGTCAGGCGTGGTGGTGCACGTCTGTAATCCCAGCGCTCGTGAGGCTGAGGCAGAGCATCACTGAGTTCCAGACCACCCTGGGCTACATAGTGAGTTCCAGGTCAGTCTCAACTACACGGTGAGACCCTGTCTCAAAAAACTAAACAAAACAAAGTTGAGGTTGCCCGACTGTCTTGTCTTCATCAGACAAGACACATACTGGGCGATGGTGCGCAAGCCAAATAGGTGACCCTTTGTGTGCTTTCCTTGTTTATGCAGTTTGGGGCAGATGCACGTTTCAGGGCACCACCTCCGCCTGGGCCTGGCCTTGCAGCAAGCTTTCTGCTGTCCGCACCAGCCCTCTGGCCGGCGAGGTGAGAGTCTACTTCACCCCACACACAACGTGGCCACATGGCCGGAGGCAGTGGTGACAGGAACCTTGGCACCTCAGAACAGGAGGGCGGGACCCGCACTTTCTCTGGCCTGGGCAAGGCCCTGCTCCCCTATAGGCCGGCTGGGCGGGGGAGGAGCCAATCGGGGACTAGGCCTTGCTGCGACCTTCGGCGTGAGGCAA